CCAAGTTGCACTTTCTTTTTATTTTCATGGTATTGTGAAAATGTGACAACTGAGTTCTTATTCGTCAAAAAGTCAAACTGCAGATGACCAAGCCTGATTTCTAGAGTCTTTGTTTTGTCAATGTGTCTACTGAGAAAAAGAAAAGGCACCAGCTTCATTTGGGCATATTTAGCTGCCCAATGGGAAACAACTGAAGTGCATTTTATTCCTGCCTTGGCAAGAAAGAGCCAATCGAAATATGTACAGATCTGTTTTTTGCCCTGATAAGGCTGATCCCCCTTTATGAAAAACACTTGGTTAGTACCCCTATGGTAATGCAGAACACAAGCCAGCTGAGATGAACAAAAACCAAAACCAAAACAAATTGATTGTGCCTAGTACTTTAAGTATTTAATTTTTTACAAAAGATGTACCCCACAACCATATAAGGGTGGATGGTCTAGAAATCAACTCAAGCATGTCTGTAATGACTTTAAGTAACAGCTTGTTTTTGTGAATGTTTCTCTTCAATTCTTTGTTTAGAAGAAAGCCAAACCCCCCAAAATGGGAAGTATCTGTGTTTGCAGCACTCAATCAAACACAAAGTTTCAGGAATAAACTGGGGGAATACATAGGTTGTCCTTCTCATTGTGATCTGTCAGGCTTCTCTTACACAAGTCTGAGAGACCAGAAAATATTCTGCGGCAGTAAATAGCTACTTAGCTAGATTATCTCCCTACTTTTCTACTTAACCAATGAAGTGACTGGCGGTAAGGAGACTCGGTTACACCTTTAATCCTTCACAGGCTTCAGCATTTACTTGAGTACTTTAAAAATAACCATTTCTAGACCATCTTCCTTTACAGTTACTAGTGCTTTATACTGTCAGTCTTGTCATCTGCAACTTTTGTTTTTTTAAGGAACAAATATGTTCATTTACTGTATCTCTGAGACACATTCCAAAAGATTTTTTAATTACTCTATAAAATGGCAGATGGGTGAACACAAAAAAGGTTCTGATGCGCCCAGTTCAAGAGAATGCTTTTTAAAAAAAACTGATGAGTGCCGCTCACAAAGCAGCAAAAGGAAGATAATGACTCCCTTCTAAATAACGGTGGCAGTGTGGACAAGTCTACCAATTGGCCTATGTGCATAGTACCTGTAAAATATTGATACAAGCCTGTCATGTATTGTTAATAGGGCTTTTATCTCCTGTCACTGCCATTCAGTGCTGGTTATCACTGGGATCTCGTTAACAAAATGCCCCTTTAAGGCCCCTGTAGTGTTGATGAAAAGTCAAGGTTCCATTATCTCGCCTCTTTTGTACCAAGCCAAGCCTTTTTACAGGCAAACACGCAACCCATTAATCAGCTGGGTATTTTGAGGGACTGCTGTAAAAATAATTCCTCAGCCAAACATCTGTTTTAGAGTACCTGATTGTGTCAAATTGTGCTGGCTAAGAGCGTGCAGAAAAGCATTTGTATGTTCCTCTCCACAAAAACTTAATGGTAATGGTGAGAAAAATAATATGATTCTCGAGTTCTTTTTTTTTATTTTTGTAGCGTTTCGAAACAAACAACAAATTGTTCACCCAAAAGACGGCTTATAATGTTATAAAACTTTTGCACTGTGATGTGGAGTGCTGTTGTGTCTTTCATGTTTCATATTTTACAGCATGTGTTTCAAACAAACAACGCTGGCTTTGACAAGGTACAATTCTTTTCCAGATCTCTCCAACCTAACACCTTAAGGATGCCGAAAATGACTTTGTAAAAAAAAAAACAGTGACAGCACGTTATGAATATTGATTATCAGACCCCTCGTGTGGAGCTGTATGTATTTTGAATCCTCCATTTGGGGTTAAAATACTGAGGGAGCTCTAACTAGGTCACTCCTTCTCTCTTCTCTAAATACACAAGACAGATTCTGAGGCGAGAAACTAAGTAACTGTTATTTTACAGTCAGCATTGTGAGAGCAAAATGGAATGATTTAACATTGCTAAAGGAATCTATTGCTTTAAAAACGGTCTTGTTTTGCTGCAAGTATATATATATATTTTTAAGCCAAGTAAGGCATTTATTTTCAAACATATGGCAGAGGTGAAGTATAGTTCTTATACATTTCGAGCTTTTCACCTCTCGAAGGCCTCCACTACTACTCAGTGTTACAATATTGGATCCAACTGCTTTGGTATAAGAAATAGGTAACAAAAAAAGTAAAGGTCAGAAACTTCCACATGATACACAAATCTGACTTGCAGCTGATGTTCATACATTGGTTCTATGAAAAGTCAGCTGCGATCTGTTTTAATTAATGCTAGTGGGATATATGGTTCCTGTCACAGCCTTTTTAAACTACTTCCAATCTTAAAATTGAAGATGCTTTATTTGGCCACACATTGTTAATAGGGATCAGGCACCGTTCATGGCATGCACTGGGGTCAGTGCATGGAAATACTGACGCTTTTAATTCCCAAGGGAAGTTTCCTCAACAGAGGGGTGGATGAGGCACCTTGATGTGACAGGACTGATAAAATCAAAGTAGATCTGTGTCTGCTCTGTTGGTGAAGGTTCCTGTATTTCAGAACAAGACACCTTTTTGCTCTTTGTTGAAGGCCACTGAAAACCCTCTCAATGACTGTGAAAACTGCGCGGGTAAGCAACTTGCTTTGACAACTGAAGGTGGTTCAGCGTTATTGCACGTCTGGTCTTCGGGATTACCAATCTTTGAACATAAATTGCATCATTTTCTGTTACCTAATAGCACCACTTCTGTGCAAGTTCTGAGTCATGCAATAAGAATATTTAGGTCATAATTCTAGTAGGTGAAACATCTATACAGCAACTTATTTGGGGATAAATCCATTAAATTAGATGCGCTGATGCACTGAAGAGATGTACCAGCGCATGGAGAGGTATAGTATTTTGGTACTATTTTTTAGCCAATAAATACCCAGTGGATATCAATATAAACCTCAAGCAGTTGCGACTCCAAACTACTATGGAAAATATCACTGCAGATATCAAAGGGCAAAGTTTATGTAACAAAGATAGCCCAAAATCCTTGGTAAAGGATAAAGACATTTCCTGAAGTGCACCACGGGGAAAACAGACCTCTAGGGTTGGAGAATGTGCTTTTTCCATTATTTTCTGAGACCAGGTCTTGCAGCATCCTGGGAGATCATATCTCAGTGGCTATGATGTCCTCGTAGTGAATGTCTGCGCTTTGGATGTCCATGTCTAGGTCTGTCCGACTCTCCAGCTCGACGGTGAGCTCTTTCAGGATTTTCTCCAAGTCCTGATTCTTCTTGTACATCTGCAGGTAATTGTGCTGCAGCTGCTTCTGGTATCTGATGACTTTCTCTTTCTCCCTGTTCCAGGTTAGTCTCTCCAGCTGGAAACTGCTTGCCATTCTCTCCTTCTTCTGCTTCTCCTCTCTCAGCTCCGCCCTCAGTTTCTCCACCTCTCTCTGAAGGGCCTCTGTGTCCTCTGGTCCTCCCTTCTGGCCCCTGCCTCTGCTCTGTCCGGCCAGCCCCCGGACGCTGGCCTCGGATTTCCTTCTCTGCTGCTCCTCCTTGGCCAGAGCCAGGTCCTGCTTCATGTTCCTGATGTCTGTCTCCAGCTGGCCCACCTTCTCCCTCAGCAGGTCTGCCTCGTTCTTCTTGCGCTGCAGCTCGTTCTCGCAGACCTGGAGAAAACGACAGCAGGCCCGGGTAACGAGCAGATCTGTGCCTTCAGGGAATGTGGCAAAATAATCAAATCCAACCGATGGAGTCAATCTGCGGCTCAGTGCAGTAACTAACCTACTCCTGCCTGAACGGTTTTTTTTTTAAACTGTGCTTTAAAAATATTAACAGTTTTATGTGTTATTTACTTTTGTAAACAAGGCCCCAGTGTCAAAGTTTTAAGCATCTTAAATGTCTTCTGCTCCTCCACGTGCTTAAAAGCCATTGTCCTTCTTATAGTAAATTGTCTTTCTCAATGATGAAATTCCTATAAGTTAATTATGAAAGTCTTTAAGTACTTAAAAAATTTAAAAAGAATAGTTGTAGAATCCCACACAAACTCCTTAATAGTTAATGCAGTGATTTTTATAGTCAACTTGAATTAATTATACTCAGCATCTGTATGTTTAATTCATTTGTAAAGTAAGTGTAAGCAAAAGTAAGGGATACTTTAAGACACAGTGTAGGGCTAGACAGCGTAATTAAAAAGTAAATAATGCTGGCCTTTTCCTACCTCCACCTCCACAGTTCGTGCACGGACAGTCTCCTCCAGCTCCTTGATCTTCTGCTCTAAAGCTTCCATCTTGCTTTTGGTTTCCCTCAGGATGGCTTTCAGGTTAACTATTTCATTCAGTTTGTGAGAAACGTCTCCCTGAGATTCCTTCAGCTGCTGTTTTAGCAAAGAGATCTCTCCAGATTTTTGGCATACCTACAAAAAACGTGGAGAACCTTTTGACCCCAGGGAATCTGGTGCTAACTTTATGCATTTCCATGGTTATGCAGAAGCGCTTTCGATTAAGCTCAATTCCAAAAGGCATTGGGGTTCTGGAACAAGGTACCCAGCCCTGTGATTGAAGTCAACACCCTGGTTTCTTTTAACGATCAGCTGGATGAGATCCTTGGAGCAGCTAATTACTAAAGGGGCTACAGGGGCTGAATGGCTGCTCATTGGTAGTTTTACGCAGGTTTCTCTAGCACATGTCATACAGCATCATAGAGGAAAATCTAACACAACTCAGCACTACAGTAAGAGCATTGAAAGACTTACTTCCCACTGCGTTTCCTCCAGAGTTGGAGCCAGCTGGGTCTGCTCCTTCTCGTAGGATTTGAGCTTGACCTCCAGCAAGTCTCTCTCCTGCGTCAAGTGCATCACGTCGTCCTGCAGCTGCTTCTTCTCCTGCTGGAGCTGGAGGACCTGCAGCTGCAGGGTCTGCTGTGCCCTCACTGCCCTCTGGGAGACCTGCCGCAGCTTGGTGGAACACCTCTGCTTCAACCCCTCCATCTCCTCCTTGCAGTACTTCTGCTTCTCCTCAAAGAGCTGGCAGGTGTCCACCTCTTTCTCCTCGAAGCTGACCTGCAGCTCCTGCAGCTCCGTCTCCCTCTCGAGCAGCCTCTGCTCCAGCTGCTGTATGAGCGTCTCGTCCGTGGAGATGGGCGACCGCACGCAGGCGGCGCTGTCCGAAAAGGCGGCCTGTTCGGGCGGGGTGCCGTCTCGGCCCTGCGGCCTCGGCCCGGTCTCCGAGGAGGGTGCGGCCTTGTTGTTGGCCACGCTGCAGCTGTGTGCACGGCCACTGCTGCCGCCGTTCTGCGACGGGCTGGTGTTCTGAGCCGAGACCCCGCATCTAATCTGCGGGCCCTGCGGGCAACTGCTAATGTTGTCTATCTGACAGCTCCCGCTGGTGCTGTGGGTTGGAAGACTGGACATGGAGTTGCGCCCCGAGTCCGATAAAGTACCAGAGTTGTTATCTGGCTTTGGCTCCGGCCCATTTGCGGTTTCAGCGGGGCTCAGCCTTTTGCTTATGATATGATTCAAGTTGTTATGGCTTTCTGTAGAATTGCTGTTCCTTGGAATCACTGGTTTAAATGCTGTAGGCCGTATCAATCCCTTTTCAGTGCCCTGACAAAAGAAAATACGAGGTTACATTGGCAGGACACCATAGTGTGGGGACCCTGTTTACAGGCAAAACATAAGGAAGGTCCAAAACATAAGGAATGTTTTGTTTCTGGTCCCCAAGGCTCACTTTTCAGCAATAGTTTCAAAGGGAAAAAACAGAGTAAATGTCAACGTCAATGATCGAAAAATGGGAAGAATGTATGTAATCCTTACAGTATATATTGCTGTGATGAAAAACACCATCTTGTACTGGTCTCCCTTTTTTATTTCCACCACTATTACCTAGAGCTGGGCGATAATTCGATATCGACTGATATGAAAATTCTTATTGTGATAATGTTTTTGGCCATATCGCCCAGCCCTACTATTACCTTTACTCCATAAAGGCCTGTACTATCTCAGTAAAGTGCATTCACCACATTTTGAACTGTATGGAATGCAATACTGTAGATTCAATTTCTCAATCTGACTTGTTACAAGCATTTGGAACCTGATCTATAAACTGAAAATAAACGACACCCTTCTAAGTAATTAGGCTACTTGATTTGCATGGAAAACCATTAGATTACAAATCACTACAGGGTGCTTTTAAAAATCCTTAATAAGTGACTGAACAAAAATCCTGTGGATGCAAATGAAAGAGCTAAACACAGGGATCCTCTTCTTGCAATTAACGACTTTTATGCATTTTATGCGTTGTTTGATATCTGGAGGTTGAAAACAATTAAGTTGACCAATAATCAGGAATTCTTTTAAAAAATAGCATCAGCACCTGTCTGCAGTTCCATGAGCTACCACTAATAAGCTCCTTCACTGAGTTTAAAAGGGATTTGTAAGAACTCGCATTTGGGGAAAACAAATCATCATGCTATCCCTGGTTTAATGTGCATACAATTAAAAATCAAACAACCCATAATATATTGTGAGAGGTCATGGGGTCAGTCCAGGGTGCTCGTTACTGTAACAGAAGAAATGTAGCAGGCTGTTGTTTAACACTGTCGAATAACCCCTTGACATCACAGAACTTGTTAAATCAGACATTCAGGTAAAGACAGATTGTACCAAACATTTACAACATGCAGTTGTTTCCTTGGGTTACCACAGCTTGTCATAAATCTGTGCTATTTTGCATTTTGCCCTAATTCCAGTTTGCTTTTTTTTAACTTGGAGAACAGGAGACTCTACTTTGCACATGGAATTCTGGGAGTCCGGAACAAGTGGATGTTACAGAAGCCGATTACGCCATTACTTGTTTCGAAAAGGGGCTGGATAAGATCTGAGATTCAGTTTTGCAACCAAATGAGTTAAATGGGCTAAATGATCTCCTCTTGCTTGTAACCTTTCTTATGCTCTTATTCTGCCTTCAGTCTGCGGGTTGAATTTTGAAATCCTAAGGTTAGGTTACCGAAACAGTGATGGGTACTAATAAATGTAATTAAACTTCTATTTTTAGATTCTTTTCCACTTGTAGTCACACCATGATCACATTTTAATTGCTTGTGGGCCTCTTTTAATAGCTCTGGACCTGAGAGAAAAGCAGTGCACACACTAGGCAATATGTAGAGTGTGTATACATTGCTAATCTAAGCCTATGATGCCTGAGTGGAGGAAAGTTGAACATTTTAATATGTATTAGAGGAATGAAAAGCAGAGAAATTTGTAAAGCAAGCTAATGATTTAATTACACTCTTGTGAGCCAAAACCTACACTGTGAATAGGCAATTAAAACTAATTACTTTTTCCATCTAGCGTATTTTGAGCAATTGGTATTTTCATCCATTCAAAATAGTGCTCTGCACAGATCAAGTAAAAGGGTTATTTTTTGTTAAAAATCCATTAAATTGTTCATTTATGTTATTGTAGTGTATATTGAGAAGTACAGGTCCAGCCTGTTTATATGGATATATGAACCCACATGCTGCAAAGCTCAGGTCTGACCTTAATAGAAGTACTGTAGTTCAGGGTAGAGGGAAACAAAAAGAATTGTGCATTTTAGATTCTTTGTTCCTTTCCAGTGATAGAATATGCAAAAGACTGGAACTGCAATGCTAGCGTCTATGTGCAAAAGGGAAATATAGAACAACATTTCAAAACTGCACACAAAACGTATGATATGGACTTTCAGTTACAGAAAAGAAAAATCTCAATTAGCAGTAGTCGGTTTTTACAAGGCCTAATACAAGAGGGAAAGTGGCCATCATCACATCATTCTGTGTGAGCCAAGTCCTGGCTAAACACAAAAAGTCATTCAGGGATCCAGAAGTAATAAAAAAACGTTTGCTGAGGCTGTTGATTGTCTGTTTGGGGATATCAAGAACAAACATTTTTGGCAAGGTTCAGACAGCTGGTGCCTGAAATAAAAGAGTTTCTCAAGTGGTGAATACGCCCAATTAGAGGATGACCAGTGGCGTCTAGATTTAGCATCAAGCATTTAGACTTGACTGAACTGCTGAATGAGCTGAATGTCGAGCTGCAGGGACAAAATAAAAATGTCATCGACATGATCAGCAGTGTCACCACGTTCAAAACAAATTACTCACATTAAGATGGGATATTCTTTTCTCTAAAATGGGGAACATTACCGGTTCAGTGTAGCATGAGTCACTTGCTTTTATTTGCTGTAATTGTAGGGATGGATATCATTATTGTACTGATGTGCCCACAGTCTGTTTTTCCTATATCAGAGCTTCAAATTCACAGTGGTAGATCGCACTGGACTGGCAAGTGGAAAACTAGATCTTACATTAAAAAAGGTTGGGCACCCTTGCTTAAGACCCTATAATCCATGACTGGAATTTATCTTGTTTAACAAATTATTTCCATACCAAGTGTGAGCATACTGCATAGGAATGTAGCCTCCAGGACTGTACAGTCATACATGCCGTTTTCTGCTACTACCACTGAACTGCAGGTTAAGACCCCTGCTAGCTGCTCCTACTGCACATGATGTGGACGAGCACTTTGATTTCCACAGCAGTGTAATGAACACAGTGACCACCTTTACTTAAAGAAATAAAAGCTCATGGTACTATACACCTGACTGTTTCATCCAGTTCATGCTGCACAGGCAGTCCTAAGTAAAAAAAATGCTCTATCCCCCTCTACACAGGCCTTTCTGTAATGATTTACGGCACCAACATTTCCCATAAAGAACAGAAACCATTGAAGAGAAGTGAAGAAGGTAAGCTTGTTGAATCAGCATTCCTGCTCTCTGACTTCATGCATGAACACTTGGAACCTTTCCACAGTCTCAGGTTCTGGCTTGCTTTGGGTATAAAGAGCTATTGAGAGGAAGGTTTGCTTAAGCATAGCCCTGGCAATGGATGAAATCTTTTTCAGAGATCAAGGCATTCTTACCTCATCAGTCTTGAGCTTTAATGAAGTTGACCTGACAACAGAAAGCCTTCAGAGTTTCGGTAAAGGGCTCACGGATTATTTTCAATCTACTGCATTTATCTTGTGTTGGCCTTTGTCAGAGCTTAGCACCAACTGCCTCACAGCTGGGCTTTTTTTCCCCAGCCATAGAAGCATTTAATTCTAGTAAGGATGGCAGGATAAAACAGCTGACCCGAAACACCGCTGTACGCAATCACTTGTGTTTTCTGGTTTTTAATAGTTAAATTGGATTCTTTTACATTGCAGCACCATGGACAAAAATAAAAAAGTTCAGAGTTGTAGTTCTAAAAAGCCAATGTTTGTCTGTTGTGCGGAAGCTAGTGTTTCCATTTTTAGAATTACTAACCTAATTAAGCATATTGGTTTGTGGAATTTTTACTATTTTTATTTATCCCACCAACTAAAAGATGCAAAGTACGATTGTAGGAAGGAGACGCATGGCAACAGCCTCACCTCCCAGAGGGCACATCCATACTGATTCCATCCATCCATCTTCTAATCACTTTATCCAATCGCTGGGGAGCCAGAGCCCATCCCAGCAAGCAATGGGCCGGATACGCCCTGGACAGGACGCCAGTCCATCACAGGGCTCACACAGACAAGGACAGCAACACACACATTCACACCAGGGCCAATTTTCCCAGAAACTAATTCACCTACCAGTATGTCCACAGGGATAACATACTGTACAAGCTCCACCCAGATCACACCCTAGTCTGGAACTGATCCCAGGGCCCCAGCTCCGTGAGGCAGCAGTGCTAACCACTGCAGCACCATGCCACCTCCTTAGTTATTCAAGTATTTCAAAGTCAACCCCATGGACATCTCCAGAATTAACACATAACCACTTTGCACCAGAAGATGCACACGGAAACTTAGGAGAAGTGCATTTAAAACTGGGAACAGGTGGTGCTGTTTTACAGAAAGGGTTGCAGGAGTCTGAAATAACTGGTGTTTAACTTCATTAGTTTAACTTCCACTCCCCTGCACATAATTGTTCCCCGGCTGCACCAGTGGCTGTAAGTGTGTTTCCCAGCACTCCTCCCTCCACCTCAACACCACCATTGCAGCATTTTCTCCCTGGCTCATCTGGGGAGAAGGGGTGTGACAAGGCTGATCATTTCCTTAGCCAGGAGAGCTGACACCAAAGTCAAGACCATTCCTTTATATTTGTCGGCTGTCATTATCCAAATCGAGTGATCTACTGAAACCTAAGAAGCTGGATGGACCAAATGACCTCCTCTGTTTGTTATGTTCTCTGTGGCACTGTGGCTGGAAGGTTGCCGGTTCAAATCCTGCGGCTGGCAGAGGAATCCTACTCAGTCGGGCCCCTGAGCAAAGGCCCTTAACCCCAACTGCTCCAGGAGTGCTGTATAAGTGGCTGACTCTGTGCTCTAACCTCAAGCTTCCCTCCCTCTGTCTGTGTGGCTGTGTGTCTCATGGAGAACAAGCTGGGGTATGCAAAAAGAAATTCCTAATCCAAGAAATTGTATATGGCCAATATAGTGATCTTAGCTTATAAACAAAAGATGAACTCCCCCTTACTTACCTTCTCGAGCTTCCCAGAAAATGGCACCAGTCTGGGGGGCGTGATGTTGCCAGGCTCCGTGCCCGCTGGTCCCTTTGGGTCTTCTGCCACTATAGTGGGCCTCGCACCCTGGCATTTGGGGGCGGCTCTGGGCTTGTGGCTCACCTTGATATAGAAGAAGTCCTCGCTCCTGCCCGCTTGGGAGACCGCTTTGGTATTGTTGTTGGCCGAGTCCTGAGCAAATCCGTAGCGCAGCAATCCGTCGGCATCCCGGCGCGTCTTCTTCGCCTGGGGGGTCTTCCTCAGCTTGTACTCCGTAGCCCGGCAGTGCTTGCTGTGGAGGCTGTGACCCGAGATCAAGCTGCTCACGCTGCCCATGGTTCTGCTGGCTCCAGCAATGGCACGGCGGAAGGGGAAGCACGTTTGGCCTTAACGTGTGCTGTCGAGATCTGAGTGGTAATGGTACGTAGCCCGTTCATAGCCCCAGAAAGAAACCTGTATGGCTCCCATTGGTGAACCTGGATAGAGAAAGGAAGTCGTTAGGCATCGATCACCTCTCCATTGACAGAAACTAATTTACACCAAAAGAGGTTGAGATGTCCTTTGTGCTGCAATCAATCATCTTTCATATTTAAAGCACTGGAAATCAATTGTTTTTGTGATTACAGATGGTCTAGGGGTTCACGTGAGTCTTTACACCTCTTAATAATTGACCTTGAATGTGTTAAATAGTTTTAAAATGTGCCGTTTCCTATGGCAAGAAAAAAAAAAGAATAGGACCTGAAGCTGTTAGACAAATCACAGCTGGAGCAGAAAAGCAACAAAAGCAGAACAGGAAGCTATTGAACACTGACTTTGACAGTGGGCAGGTCTTTTACACAATGCCCAGTCTTTTGCAGTGCACATGTACTACAGATCTCATTCTGGATGTGCAAAACAAAAAGGCATACATCAATATTTCAGGAATACCGCACTAAATAAAAAATGTTAAGTAACTTTATGAGGCTGCAAATAGAATAAAATCCTATATTTGTGCCTCATTCATGTCATTCATCCATTAATGGTGATAAGTCTCAGGGTAGAGATGGCTGGCAGTTAAGGTTTTATTATTGAGATTCCACTGACTACTTTGAATGAAATAGACCCGTTGAGAGAAGAGCAGAGGGCCTTAAGGAGGTCATCTGTCATAGTGCACGCTCTCTCATCTAACCTAGCCAGTAAATGATATTGACAGCTGAAGTACAGGGCAAACACTCTGGCCAAGAGTGTATCTGTCTATGTCAGACAAAACGGGAGGTGGCAGAAGTATGGAAAATATAAAAAATGTATGCCAGTTCCAGTAATGTTTAGTGAGTAAGAACCCTTGCAGTCTTGAGCAAGTTACTTAACAGAGATCACACCAGTTAAGGGTCCTGTTGTATAAATGGGTCTACAGCTCCCCAATGTAGATGAGACTTTGTTCCTAATTGACTTACCTGGCAAAATAAAGGAAAGAAAAAATGACAATTTTTTGCAGAAAAGTCTTAGAATAGTTAAACGTGTAGAAATTTAATCAAGGGCTCATAGGTTAACATTTTACAATACACTGGCAAGACCTCATATAGAATACTGTATGCAATTTCGTAACCATGGCAAAAAAAACAAATTTTTGCTCTGCAAATGGTCAACAAAACAACACCCAGGTACAACCCTGGGCGCACAGCAATGGCCGAATAGTAGAACTGAACACTCCTAGACTTTAACAGAGAAGACTATGAGGGGACCTGATTCTAGCACCGAGAGTCCTTAAGGGTGGAATTCTTCAGAATGCACAGTGAAATGCTAAACTGAGGACACAAGTGGAAACTACATGGAATTTACCATTCGTGGCACAGCTTAACACAAAAAGGATGGGGATCTGGACCAGTCAGCTAGTTGGTCAAACTGATAGTCTAACTTCTATGAAGAAACCTCTGAATCAGATAACCCAAACATTTAGCTACAAGCAATCAACTGGGCTAGACAGGCAAAATAGAATCCTCTCGTTGGTAACCATTCTTATGTTCTTAATAGGTAAAGGAGTTTGCTCAGAGCACTGCTTGAATTGCGATCCCCTGTTATTCAGAGAAAGAGCCTTTGTCATGTCACTGGGATACCTCAAGCAGTGCAATCTGTGCTGCCAGGAGCAGGTTTGAGATTAGACAGCGACCCCTGCAGACTCAGGTGGAATACCAGCAGGCTCAGGTGGGACACCTAAGCTGACGTCAGCAAGAGACAATCTTCTGCTCCAATTCATGCTGCACCACCTGGGCACTGCTGCACACCTTGAACTACCTGATGGACAGGTGGGTCAGAGGAGTCTGTCAGCACTTCTTTTTTCTCTGTGTGTGTGTACAGGGGTCAGAGCCATGTGCTGAGATGTCAAAACATTGGCGATTCCACATGGGGAAGATATCAAACGAAAAAACAAAAACTGTGCCCGTCACTAGACCACAAACATGGACTGTAGGGCTGTAGGGCTCAACACTAAATGGACACAACTTCCTGCAAGAACACATCACTGATTATAAACAGGGCAAATTAACGCCAAATATAGGCAACCTCTCTTGAGTTTAAATTTCAGTTTAGAACTAAGCACCACAAGCGGTAAGTACAAAATGTTAAATGTGCTCACTTAGTCCTATCTCATATTAGTCAAAACTGAAAGCACAGTGATATTAAGCCTGAATCTGACATAAAACCTGAGTTTTCTAAAACATTATTATTGTAATCCAGTGAGTGAACATGGAAAAGTATTATTTTTTCCTGCCTTTATTAATGTATGATTTTGGGTTGCTGCTGGTACAATACAGATGAGGTTGAACACATTTCATCAGTACAATCTTTTTAAATTTACGGCTTGTAGATTCTTTTAGCAACGATCCAGGTGGCTTTCCTGCTTGTTTTCCCTCTATAAGCACTTAATTTAATTGGGCTGTGAGCCATGCTCATGTGGCACAGTGAACTGTACTATAATTAAAAACCTCAGATTTAATTTTTTGGGGGAATTGCTTCCAACATCCCCAGCAACGATCACCAAGCCACAGTTCACTAAGTATAGGCTGCACCACCTTTGGTGTAAATGGGACCCAACCCTTCTTTATGGTCTCCCATCCAAAAACTGCTTATGGGCCCAGGTGTTGCCAAAGGGACATTACAGCTCGCCAGGGACTAAGCTGGAGCTGTTTTAAGTCATCATGCTGGTAACAAAGGCTAGGGAGGGGGCTTCAAAAGTTGATAAATGGGGCTTTAGGCATCTAAGCCACCTGATCCCTGCTTCAGACAACCATTTACTGAATTAACAGGGAGATTTAACTGCTGTGCATTCTCTCTGCTGTAATGAGCAGTGGAATTTCATTTGCCTTTTAGAAGCCAGACATTTTGCAGTTCTTTTAACTACACTGTTAAACGTGTGACGTTTACAAAACGTTTCCACCTGCATTTTTATGTCAGGTTAATGCATAACAGAGAGAATGAGACTGTAGAGTGTCAGGTTCCTTTCTTTTTCTACCAGTTTAACAGATTTTACCACGTGAATGTAGGCATGTAAACTCTAAAAGCTTATCTGGTGTAACAGCAGTCTGCAAAATGAACTGAATGAATTCTCTTTTTTCTGATTTTGCATCGCGCCGTAACTGTGACCCCACAAGCAAGTATTTATTTTTAAACTCACAAAGCTTTATTTTTAAACGAAGATATGTGAACACCGCATGTACGTCCTTCAACAAAAAACACCGACTCCGAAGACGACCTCACAGGCACATTTCCCACGCTATACAACTACGCTTGCTCCCTTTTTCGTGAGGAAGTCAGGTACTTTAAAAGTACAGACAATGGTGTAAAAAGTCCGTTTTTGCTACAGTTATCTGCACACCACTGCACATATTCATTCTTTGGTTTGATCTTAATGGGTCTTGTCAAGAATGCATTTATATTTCAGTGCAATTGCGCACATGGCGCGCTTGGGGTAACGTTATACGCTTTTTATTTTGTCTAAGTCTCTCCACAAAATCCACAAATCCCCGAAAAGACGAGACAAGACTGAGAAAAAGCCAACGAGCGTTGAATGTAGGAAGAGATACGACTTACTGGCAGCGCAAAACATCCCCTTGAAGTGACAAGTAGACCTGTCCTTCTCTTCCTCGGCGCACAGAAGACATGCGTTCCCCTGTATGAACCAGTCAGTGAATATATCAAGCCAACAGCCAGCCAGCAACCATGCAGAGGGGCGGGTTTCTTTCATTCAACAACCACATTTTTGCATAACTGACATGTAAATACTGCCTTGGAATGAGGAGGGGGGGAAACTTTGCCCCCCGGGGGGTAGAGTGTACAATGGCTGCTTCTTAACGCAAACGTGTGCCGCTAAAGTGATTAACTCCCATTCCTCACAATGGCTTCTTCACGCTGACTTTTTCTTCGTTCAGCCGGCACACTTTCTAATAGCCCCCACAGCCCCCCCAGATTTCCTTTGCCTCCTCCACGCGTCGTTCTGTGCCAATAATGAAAACGCCGAGATTAAAAGAAAAACCAGTTCTCTTTGTTAGCTTACGTGTGCCACCTCTCTGTTTAAAGCTGATTTCCCCCCCGAATGTTTGCTGAGGAAAGCAAGATACTGCTGCCGACGACGTATTCTTGAATGGATTCTGAAATACCCCTTATGGTTGAAACACAGGATTTAACAAAAGGCGTTTTTAACAGAGGGAGCTACTGTATCAAAGTTTTCCTTTTCTATTCAACACGAACGGCGCGATACGTTTGGGGACTCTTTTCAAAGCAAGAGTAACAATATCTTAAACGTTGGTGGATATAGTGACATATATTGATACACGAGTCTTTTATAAGTTCGTTTTTATATATTTAGCTGAAATCCAGCTCTAGTATCCAGTATTACAGCACGTGTTAAAAAAAAAAAACACATCGAACCAACAGCTCCACTTTCCAGTTCACAATGGTTTTGTTTTGTTGTCGAATGGTCTTGATGATAACTGAAGTTTTATCCAGGACAAGCGCCTTTTATTTTTTTTCTCGTCGCGCAGGACAACGTATTTCTACCGCATTTGTTAACTCATCCAAGCAAATCATTTTCCTATCCGCATCTAAGAGCTTTCAGCAGTAAGCCATCGAATTCTCAAACGGGGTTGAACAGGTGCAAATTTATAAAAATCACAAAGCAATCAAATAAATGGTGCTTTTTCTGGGTGGTAAAGCTAGGGTGCTCATTTAAAGGTTCAGAGTGAGTAGGAATTTGTTAGTTGATGTCCTAAACTGTAAAAAAAAAAGCGGATTTATTTTAGCTTGCCAAACTGATTGTCAAAGAAGGAGTACAGTATACTGAGAAAGCCACTAAACACACAATAAATTCTATTGTTTCCAATACCAATGTACTGCATCTTAATGCCATTCCCTGTATTTTAATAATCGTTATTTCTTTGCTGCAGCATGGATACCTCTATCACAGAATAGCAATGAGCTGTGTGTTGACACTGGGATAGTTTCT